AGTATTGCCTTGGCGCAGAAACAACAAGAAATACTGAGGGCAGAACTGACGATCTCGGAGTTGGCCCTTTTCGAGGATGCAGAGGAAGAGGATTCTACTGTTATTCTGGCATATGAGGAACAGACTGAATTTTGTACCCAGAACTGCTGGAATCTTGGCAGTGGTGACCAGCCCTCTAAAGCCTCCCATTGTTGCCGTGAGTATTTTGTACCCTAGTCTTTCTTTCTTTTCCTATTATGACGTTATCTGAAAAACTGACTTGAATTTTTTTTGTAGATACCCATCCATTCTCTTCTAGGTTCATCCACCACGGCCTCCTTTGCTGATCCAGAATTGGCAAAGTTTGAAGCTATGGACCTAGATGCCTAGCTGGACAAATTGGAGAAGTTTAGCTCCACTCCAGGCAAGGCCAAATCCCAAACTGGAGAAGCTTAGCTCCACTCCAGGCAAGGCAAAATCCAAGGCAGTGAATGAGGCAGTGGATAGAGTGAAGATCTGGCAATCCACTGAACTGGATTTGGAAGAAAACCAAGAAGCTGTTGACCAACTGATGAAGGACCTGGACCTGCTGCATAGAGAAAACATGGCTCCTAGGCCCATTCTTGAAATCAGCCTAGGCTTGGCGAGAGATGTGCTCAATCTCCATAATCGTTATGAAGATCTCAAGCCCTCTTTTAAAGCATTAGAATTTTGCAAAGCTACTCATGAAGCCAACCTGGTTGACCATCAGAAACAGAAGGCAGAATTGGATATGATGGTTGCCTATTACAAGGAGACCAAGACTGTGTTGATGAGCAATTCTGAGAGACTGGACTGCTATTTCCATTAGCAGAATTGCATCATGGCCATAAGTTAGAGCATATAGGGTCATGCCAGTTGCTTCTCTTTTTGAAGTACTATATGCCGATAGATTTTCTGATAACTTCTCATGCGATTGCTTTGGATTTTTCTCAAGCATTTTTATGATAATGTTGATGATCACCTTATTACTTGATTCTGCCTATCCGTTAGCTTAAGCATAGTAAGGAGCGGATTGAAGTAGTTTGAATTTGAATTCTTCTACCATATCTAGCATTTCTCCAGGTATGAAAGAAGATCCCCTATCAGTTGTGATTGACTCTGGAATGCCAAACCTTTTTATAATATGCTCTTCTATGAAAGTGATGATTTCTTAAGATGTAGTGGATTTGACAGGTTGGGCTTCCACCCATTTGGTGAAATAATCTGTGGGTACAATGATGAAGCAGTGTTGTTTGCTACTGGTTGGATAAATCTTGCCAATGAGATCCATTGCCCATCCTCTGAATGGCCATGACTTGACTACTAGATTCATGGGAACTGAAGGAGCCTACTAGATTGGGTCATGCCTTTAACAAGCCTCACATCCCTTGGAGTAGTCAATGCAATCTTTCATCATGGTTGGCCAGAAGTAGCCATACCTTCTAATTAACCAGCACATTTTTCTTCCTCCTTGATGAGCTCCACAGATTCCTTCATGAGTTTCTCCTATGACCTTCATGTATTCTTTCTTTCCCAGGCACCTCAGAAGTACCTCATCTTCTCAGAAGGCAGGGTTGGATACTGTAAGTAATTTATAATGGGATTTCTCCAATCATCTTCAGTGATTATGGCAGAATTGACATCTATCTCCATTGCTCCGGTTAGAACAGATGGTAGACTTTTCTTTCCTACCTTGATGATCCTTTGCACACAGTCTTCAGGCATTTGTATACCTGTTGCTACCTGATCCATTTCATTGGCTGCAAAGTTTTCTTTTCTCGGAATGTGTTCCCAGGTAGCTTCTCTGAATTCTATCAGAAGGTTTCTGGATGCCACTAGATAGACAGCTAAAGAAGGATTTAAACACTTGTATTCTCCAGCAATCTGTTTTAACACAAGCATAGAATCTCCCAGGATTTCTACAGATTGGATCCCTAACTCTACCAGCATTTCTAGGCCAATGATTAAAGCCTCATATTCAGCCCTGTTGTTCGTGCACTGAAAATCTAGCTAGAAAGAATAACAATGTATGATCCCTAGTAGCTCCTTTAAAACAATCCCTGCCCCAGAAATTACATTAGTTTTTTACCCATCAAAGTACAGCTTCCAAGGTGTAAGGTGAACTGAATAGATGGGATTGTTAAGGCAAGTATGAGCTCTAGTCAACATATCTGCATTTGCTATATCCAAAGAATCCATGTTTTCAATCTCTTCCCCTGGATGATCTGCTAAGAAATCTGCCACAGCTTGTCCTTTGACAGCTTTCGGATGGACATAACTGAAAGCAAATTCTATCAAAGCCAGAGTCCATTTTCCAGTTCTGCCTCTCAACATTGTCCTTGTTAGCATGTACTTGATTAGGTCTGTCTTGGCAATGATGTAGATGGTGAAGGGCAGCATGTAGTGTCTGAGTTTTACAATAGTGAAGTATAAGGCTAGACAAAGCCTTTTATTGCAGAATATTACATTTCTAATTCTGTCAGAGTCCTGCTCAGATAGTAGACTGCCTGTTCCTTCCCCTTCTTGTTATCTTGAATTAACAGACTTCCAATGGACACTTTTGATGCAAAAACATAGAGTTTGAGTGGTCTGCCTCTCTTTCGTGGGGCTAGAACTGATGGATTTGAGAGGTAATGTTTGATTTCCTCAAAAGCCTATTGATGCTGTTCCTCCCACTTAAACGTCTGTTCTTGTTTTAACCTTAGCAAGGAGGAGAAGTGCTAGATTTTTCCTGCAGACTTGGAAATGAATCTCCTTAGAAAATTAATTTTTTCTAGGAGACTCTGCAGTTCTTTCTTGTTCCGGGGTGGTAGAGCTTCTATGATGGATTTTGCTTTATTTTTGTCAATCTCTATGCCCATTTGGTGGACCAAGAAACCCAAGAAATTTCCTACTTAAACTCCAAAAACATATTTCTTGGGATTCATTTTCAACTTATGTTGTCTCATTCTTAGGAATGCCTTTCTCCAGTTTGATACATGATCTCCCTCTTCTGGGGATTTAATGACCACATCATCTATGTATACTTCTAAAAAATGGCCTATCATGTCGTGGAAAACGAAATTCATTGCTCTTTGATAAGTAGCTCCTGCATTTCTTAAGCCAAAAGGCATTACAGTATATTCAAAAGCACCTATATGTCCTGGGCACATGAAGGCTGTTTTATGGATGTCTTCTTCTGCTACCATAATTTGATTATATCCTGCATTGCCGTCCATAAAAGATAGCATTTGGTTATGAGTAGCTCCATCGACCAGCATATCTACCACTGGCATAGGATATTCGTCCTTGGGAGATGCTTCATTCAGATTCCTGTAATCCACACAGATCCTAACTGCCCCTATATTTCTCTTCTGAACTGGCACAATATTGGCTACCCAGTCAGCATAAATGGCTAGTCTGATGAATCCTTCCTTGAACAATCTTTCTATTTCTTCCTTGACTTTCAATTTTGTTTCTATAGACATTGTTCTTCTGGCCTGTTTGACTGGAAGGATGCACAGTTTGATTGGAGCTTGTGCTCTACCAATTTTCTGTCTAATCCAGGCATCACATGATAATGCCAAGCAAAATAGTCTATAAAATCATGCAAAAGTGCAATGATTTCACCTTTGAGTGGTTCTTTCAACAACGCATTAATGAAAGTGGGTCTTGGATCCTCTTATATCCCTAAGTTTATTTCCTACAATGGATCTTCCACTTCTGGCAAAGAGTCATCCAGTGCTGTTGGTGCAAAATCTAGTACTTCCTCTTGTAAACTCTCTTCTTGTTCTTCAGTGCTCTCATGGGTGAATTCTGCCCTATTGATGGTTGGATTATGCATAAAGAGCTTCCTTTCTTCCCAATATATCAACAATCTTTTTGTAATGGATCGGATTGTTGCAACTCGATCCTTTTCTTATTGATTGGGACTAAACATTAGAGTTCTGGAGGTTTAGAACAAAAGGTCTATTCCAGTCTTCTAGAGAACTGGCTAAACCATCTTCAATGAGTCTTTAGGCCGTAACACCATGGGGGCGGCTAATGAGAGTCTCAAATTATATCTTTTTAATATTATTTTGGAGACTTTATGACATAATTTTGGCTTAATAAATATAATTTCACTTGTTGTTACATTTTATTCTCACCAACCGAATTTATGAATTTTCTATATTAATTTGGTGAACTTATTAGGTGAATTTATCTTATGTAGGAAGTTGGAAAGCCTTTGAAGACATACATTTGTCCAAGTTCAAGCTAGGTGTGAAGAGAATTGCTGGCGGATTTTATTGAAGAATTGATTGTCGGATTATTGTGACTATAAAGAGAAGTAAAGAGGGAGAAGAGAAGACAAAACTGTTGAAGCTAAATAGCCTATTTCATGTCATTCATAGCCATTTAACGCCCACTTACCTCACCGTTATTTCTTTTCTAATAACTCTCTACCATCAACACATGTGAAGCCTGGATCTATAGTAATCTGCTATCTAAAACTAGTTGGAGTGCTGGTGATGAGAGTCTCAAATTATATTTTTTTAAATATTATTTTGGAGACTTTATGATATAATTTTGGCTTAATGAATATAATTTCACTTGCTAGTTTATCTTTTCCTTTGTAATGAGTTGCTCGAACTTTAGCTATGGCTAAAGGGAATGTTCTTTGAGTAAGTTTGTGAATTGTTCTTTAATCCAATATACGGTATGAATTGCTAAATTCTTTTATTTTTGGTTGTTCAATATTTTCATATCCTTTTATTTTGATAGATGTTAAGTGTTATTATCTTTTCATGAGTTCAATTATATTTTTCTCATTGTTAAGAACTGACTTAGCATGCTTTTAAATTAAAAGAGTAGTTATTGAGCAATTCCATTTTCTGAATAATCATTAATAAAAGATAACATTGAAAAATTAAATTGGTTTTAATTTCTTTATCTTCCGGTTAAAGTTTCTCAATGAAGATTTTAATGAAAAAATATTGATGGAGGATTGATAGGCGTTGGCTACGTACCCTTACTGAGGGATCAAGCCACACGTAGTTCTTTATACAAGAAACAAAGTGAAACCCATATGCAAGCATGAACTAAATATTCCTTCACACTTTCCAAAAACCAAAAGCTTCAAACTCTAATTAATTCGCTGAAACAAACTTATCTCTTAAGAAAGTAGTTGTGAATTGTATAAAATCCTTAAAACTTAGAAAACTCGCAATCATCGTCTCATAAATCTGAAAACATGTATTAAAACCTTCACCAATAAATACCAAGACAAAATCATCAATTTTAGTTTAAAACATCTTAAAACTCAAATACTCTCCACCTAGCCGTACCCCCAAATCATAATTCGTCAATTCTAATAATATTCCGTCAAAACAACTACCATATATGTTACATCATTGCAGAACTCGGGGGACACGTGGTTAGCCTGAGAACGCATATCTTCGCAGAACTCGGGGGACACGTTGTCAACCCGGGAACACATATCCTTGCAAAATCGAGTGGTCAACCTAAAACGCATATCCATCAATTCCCCTCACACGACTTAGGAAGATATAATTAACCTGAATGCAAATCCTCACACCACACAGTTCAGGAGTCCTCGAGACTTGTGAGGTGTTATCATAAATTACTAGACTATTCCGAAGGCAACTAGGGGGCGGGGAGTACTCTTATGGTGGGTTTGAAAACCATTTTCTTTAACTTATTATAAAATTCCTCTTTTTCTACAAATCCATTATCCAAATCCTTTCTCAACTTTCCAAAAGTTAGTTCTTAAATAAATAACCAAAAATCCTTTTTTTAAACGAGATCAATCCCAAGATAGCTCGTTTTAAAGATAAAAATATTCCGAACACTTCTCCAGAAGGCCACTAACCCATCTGAGGTCATCTTGGGCTCCAAAAACGCAATAAAAGCCCAAAACGTCACTGTTCCAGCACGGCGCACTGTTCCTTTATTTATTTGCCAGGAAATCATCGCTTGGTGGAAAAGTCTGAAATTCTGACACGATCAAGCTAAGTGACTCACGAACGTCCTCCAACTGGAATTACTCCAAAATTCGTCCATTTGATTATGTTTTGCTCCAGAGGGAGTCGGAAGTCCTATAATGGAAATATAATTCAAAGTATCAAAATTCTTCCAAAATATTAACCAAACTATTTAAAAATGGGGTTAAATATATAATATAAAATATGCGCATCAAGGATCACATTTTTACAACCGACCATTTGCAGCTTTGATGAAAAAATATGGGATAACCCATAAGATTTCCACTCCATACCATCCACAGACAAATGGCCAAGTAGAACTTGCAAACAGGGAAATCAAGCAAATTTTGGAAAAGACGATGAATCCAACCCAAAAGGATTGGTCATTGAGACTGACTAATGCTTTGTGGGCATACCGTACTGCATACAAATCACCTCTTGGTATGTCCCCATATAGGCTAATTTATGGTAAACCTTGTCATTTACCTGTTGAATTAGAACGTACATCAAGCATATTGGGCTATCAAATTGTTTAACTTTAGTCTTGGAGATGCAGGTACCTTGAGAAAACTCCAATTGAATGAACTTGAGGAAGTCAGGAATGATGCATATGAGAACTCACGAATTTACAAAGGATGTACTAAAGTTTTTCATGATAAAAATATTTTGAGAAATTTTTTTGAGCCTTCTCAACTTGTTCTTTTGTATAATTCTAGACTTCATTTGTTTCCTAGAAAATTAAGAGCTAAATAGAAATATTTTTAAGGTTAATGGCCAACGACTTAAACCTTACTTAGGGAGATGTGTTCCAGAAGATGAGACCATTTCTTTGAATGAACCTGTTTACCAGGATTGTTTGGACTTCCCTTAGTCCATCTATTGTATATAATTAGTTTAGAAATTTTTGTTCACTTGAAAAAAAAGAATTCATTTTAGTTTTTTTTGGTTTTGTTTTTACACTAACATGTTGCAGGCTTTCACTTTGGATGCCAATTCTCAGGTAATGCTACCCTCTTCTTTTTATTATGCTTATATGTTTAAACATTGAGGACAATGTCAGTCTTTGATTGGGGGTGGAGAAGATGTGTTTATTGTATTATTTTCTTGTTGCAACATGTTAGTTTTCCTTTCGTTTTTGTTTTTGTTTTTGTTTTTTGGTTTGGGTTTGTTTTTGCATTTTTTTTTGTTTATTTTGTTTATTTGCATTTATTTTCGTCATTTATTTTGAAAAAAAAAACTTAAAAGTGTGAGAAAAAAAATGTTTATGAGATTAGTGCACTGTGTTGTTTGTTTTTCATAGTCTGTATGTGACAAGATTGCATTGCACTTAGATTTATGAATGATTTTAAGATTGAGAACATATAAACGATATGATAATCATCCCACTTCTGTGTCTTTTTCATTTATTTCTAGTTAGTGGATGATTCATGAGTTATA